TTTGATTGGAGATCGCGCGACAAAGCAGGCTGTACTTCAAGCAATACATTCAGTTAGTCTGATCCATCTAGCTGCTCATGGTGATGCTGAAAGAGGAGAGATTGTCCTTTCCCCAGAGTGTCCCGCTGACTATGTTCCACGAGAAGACGCCTACCTCTTGACTATGGCGGACATTTCACGAATTAAGCTGCAAGCTAAACTGGTTGTGCTTAGCTGCTGTCACAGTGCACGTGGACAGATTAAAGCCGAGGGAGTTATTGGAATCGCTCGAGCGTTCTTAGGATCCGGTGCTCGCTCAGTGTTAGCGGCACGGTGGGCTTTAGATGACACAGCCACAGAGAAGTTCATGACTTGTTTCTACGAGCACTTGTTCCGCGGTGAAAGCGCCAGTGAATCTCTTCACGAGGCCAGGAAATGGATGAGAAACAATGGCTTTGTGGAAGTCTCCAAGTGGGCTTCTTTTATGCTGATTGGCGACAACGTGACATTTGATTTTGCAAATTGGCCTGTGTCTACTTCAACCAAATAGCCATGAGTCATGTAAACCCGCTGTGACGAAATGTGCTGGACGGAATAAAGTTAGAAACTGTTAATTGCCACCGTACAGAGAGAGAAAACCATCTGAAAAGACGTCTGCAAGTTAAATTTGAGGCACTCAAGCAAAACTTTCCTGTAAAGAACGCAGCAGGGACACGAAAATTCATAAAGTAGAGATGATGAACTTTTAGCAGTTACTGAACAAACGCAAGAGCATTCCCTTTTCGAAAGCGAATGGTTCAATAATCAAGCCAAGCACATTGTAGCTAATTTTTTTCGAAAGCGGTTAATACATTGAGCAAAGCAAATTTTAAGTAATATACTTAAAGTGATACGTCATGTAGCTTTAGCAAGTATGGAGTAATTGTTTTTATAAGGGGCTCTGTATCATATAAAATGTGCAGAGTTTTTTTCAAGGTTAAGCAGTATACTCGAACTTAGTTGTCATGATTCTGTCAGGAAATCATTTGTCATCTTAAGCAGGATGATAAAACGTTAGGGTTAGATTTTCAAAGGTTTTCAAAATCTTTTCGGTTTCATTTGTTTGTTTTTTTTTTGCGAGAAATTATAAGTCGTCATATGTGAAGTACTTTTAGAAAGTGATCTCCATACGCAATGTATATATCAACTTTGGGTAACGCTAATTTTTTTGAAATTAGCATTTTCTTATTTTTACTGACGATAAAGATTTTAATAGCTGGTCTTACGAGCAGTCTACAGGTGTCTAGTTTAGGATTCTAGATTGATTTTGATGATGGCCCTCCAGTTAAAAATACCTCTTCGAATTTATGGGTAAGGTCAAGTTTATCTTAATTTTGTAGGAAAAAATCGAAAAAACAAGATTAGGAGTTAACAACATTGATGTGAGCACGGTTACCAGTACCATTTTCGTACAAACATTTATACCGGACTTCGTTAGATTTCAGGTATTGTATTCAATTTGCAAAAACTTGTTACCTAGACCATATATTTTACTACAATCATTAAGATGTTCAGATTAACACTGTTGTGAGTAAAAAGCACTTAATTCTTCGTCATTACGACATACCGAATGATGGACAGTTGCTTTTTTCTTCATCCAGATATATACTTCGATTCTGACACCGGTAGTCCATCTCTGATTGTTGGATTTGATATGTTGGACTTGCTTGAACGGAAATAGTAAAATACGCCTTCAAATTATGGCTGTCTTAACGAGCGGAAGAGATTTAGCGAATCCTGTGTTCTGATCGGCTACCAGAGCATGCTAGTCGCTGGATCGCTGACCAACATGAATTCATCTAAACTGCTGCTCACTTATACTATTTCATGGCAGGTGAAGGCACAAAGTTACTAAGTGAAGGTGAAAGAAATGAAACATGATATGGAAGTTCTGTTAAGAGAGAATTGAAAGTAGAGTCATATAAAGTGATATAATTACTCGGGGCTTTCAAAACGAAATGCCGAATGGCATCCTCAGCCGCCGTTTTCGGCGGCTGAGGATGCCATTCGGCATAAGTTCTGCGCCTGAGATATGGCAGCGGAAGATGCATGAAGCAATTGAGCGATGATTTCCTGGTTTAGGGATTTGGAGACACAGTAGATGAAGCAGTGAAGGATCATGACCAAAATTAAACCGCTTTCCTACAAAGATGCCGTGATTTGAATCTGACACTTAATCTTTAGAAGATTAAGGTTTGCCTATCACAAGTACCATTCATGGGCCACTTACTCACAGCAGATGGTGCTGTGACTGACCCAAACAAAGTTCGTGCCATGCCGTATGTGACATGCCTACTCCAACAGATGTCAAATCCTTTAAAAGATTTCTTTGGATGGTTACTTACCTAGCAAAGTTCTTACCACACCTGTCCAGTGTCTGCGAACCGCTAAGGCGACTGGAGCTTAAGGATGCTGAATAGAGGTGGCTGCCCGTTCACGATGAAGTAGTCCAAAGTATTAAGATTCTTGTTTGTGAAGCTCCAGTGGTGAAGTTTCATGATGTTAATCGGAAAGTCGCAATTGAAAGTGACGCGTCTCTCAGTGGATTTGGCGCCTCCTTACTCCAGGAGGGTCAGCCCGTTGCATTCGCCTCAAGAGCTCTCACTCCAGCGGAAGGTTGCTACGTTCAGATTGAGAAGGAACTTCTCTCTGTTGTTTTTGCCTGTGAGAGGTTCAATTCGTACATGTATGGTCGAGATGTGGTGCATGTTAAGACAGATCACCAGCCCCTTAAAGCGATCTTTAAAAAGGACCTCGGCTCTACTCCCAAGCGTCTCCAGAGGATATTGTTGTGCTTACAGCGTTACAAACTTGACGTAAAATACCAAAAAGGAAGGTTGATGGTTATGCCTGATCCCTTGTCCCGAGCCTCGACGAAACTCTCGCACAGACCGAGTTTTGCAATGAGCTCAAGGAGATAGTGCTTGTGGAGGATCTCCCCATTTCAGAAGCACGACCGAAGGAATTCAAGGAAGGGACTGCCTTGCATGACAACCTTTAGATCCTTATGCCCGCTGTCCTAGAAGGTTGGCCTAGCATTCTGGATAAAGTTCCGGCTGAGGTCAAGCCATACTGTGACTTTCAGTTTCAAGATGAAATCACAGCCCAAAATGGTTTGCTGTTTAAGAGTGAGTGCCTCATTGTACTAGCCAAGTTAAGGAAAGAAATGATGGAAAAGGTCCATCTTGGTATTGAGGGCTGCCTTCGACGAGCCAGAGAAGTGTTTTACAAGCCGTGCATGAATGTTGAGCTTAAAGATTTCATTCTCAAATGTGATATCTGTAGTTCGTATAAGCAAGCTCTGCATCGAGAACTACTAATGCCCCATGAAATCCCATCAAGGCCTTGGAAAAAGGTCGGTGCAGATTTGTTCCCGTTTGACCAGCGCCACTACCTGATTACTGTGGATTGTTACTCTTCTTTCTTTGAGGTGGACACGACAGCTTCCAGAACTGTTATTGAGAAATTGAAAATGCAGTTTAGCCGCCATGGTATCCCGGAGATAGTTATTTCTGACAATGGACCACAATGTACTTCTGCAGAGTTTGCAAAGTTTCCAGGTGACTGGCTCTTTCAACATATTACTACCTCTCCTCGAAATCCGCGAAGTAACGGAAAGGTTAAAGGTGCTGTGAAAATCAGGCAGCGCATGGAAAGTTTGACCCATATCTTGCCTACTTGACTATTGTAACACGCCTACGGAATTTGGCTCATCCCCAGCGTAAAGGCTGTTCAGCCGGAGAACACGCAATTTGTTACCCCTGTCAAGATGCAAGATAAGCTGATTAACTCTAAGAAAAATCAGGCTTTCTACTGCAACCTGAAAGGCAAAGCACAACCTGAGTTGCAACCTGGACAAACTGTCAGGATGAAGAGGCCCAACGAATCTACGTGGACGGAAGCTGTTTGCAAGAAAATGACTGGCCCACGTTTCTATGCGGTTGTATCGGGTGGTCGAACCTACCGACGAAATCACCGACAGCTGCGAATGGTGCCACTATCTGATTCTCCGCCTGTTGCGAAATAAGCAGCTGAGCCTTTGCGATCACTGCCCCTGTTAGATTTCCACCCAGTTGCAAAAACAGCAACTGAGCCCTTGCAATTAGCATTTCAAGCAGACCCCCTACCTATTGTGAAAACTGCTGCTGAACACGTAGAACTTGCGCTCCTTCATACTGTCACAAAGAGTGGTCGTATTTGTCAAACGACCAGCACGTTTTAGTGAGTTTGCGATTTTGACTCAGTGCTTTTCGGAAGCTTTATTTTTTAAACACTGTTGTTGTTGTTTTTGTTGTTGTTTGCTGGTTTTTTTTTTTTCACGAAGGAACTCAGTCGCAGTTTGCAAGAACTCAGTTAAGACACCCCTTCTTTCAAAGGGGAAGATGTTGTGATACTGCATAAATTAGCATATATTTCTGTATCACGTGACTTATTATTCTGTAATTAGACCTTGTGGTGTTTCAATCAGCCGCCATTAAAATAGTTGAGTTGTGTTTACGCTCGGTGTCCTTACGTTGATCATTACACTTATGAGAGATCTCTTTATGAACGAACATTTATTAGTAAACCATTTAGAGAGAAACATGCTCTACCAACTGAGCTATCTAATGTTAATCTAGAGAAGCATAAACGCAAATCTCATCGTGTAAGCAGACGTGATCGTGAACCAAGCAGAATACCAATACGAAGTTTGAAAAGATTAAGGAAAAAAAAAAAGATTAAGGCTAGAGAATTTGTCGTTGTGCGTATTCTTTCATGTATACCCATGTCATCTACATTGTACTATAATGTAAATACTAAAAAAAGCTATTACGAATTCCTCAAAGTATAGGAATGATAAATATCGTGCCAGTCGATATTCAACGATGTTTTCTTGTAACAAACTGATGCGTTCTTGCAAGAGTGAGGCTCATGTAGCAAATTATTGCAACCATAAATTAAGTAGAGACATGGAAAAAAAATCCTAGTCCTCCAATATATATTGACCCTAACAAGACAATAGCAGCTCCATAGAGTCAAGGTAACGAGTTAGTTTTTGGACAGAATGCAGGAAAACAATGTGTTGCAATGAGTTTGCGCTCTTTGATTTTTAATAACACACAAGGGATCAGCTCTGCAAGTGATCTTAAACAAAGAATGAATGTTAGAAATCAATTTATTCAAGTTTGTCACGATTAGTCAGACAGGCGCTCTTAATGCAGTCAGAATTACCAGCAGCATTAAATGTGTTTGATACCGATTATCAACTGGAATACAGTGAGAGCTACTCCGGTACTGTTCATCAAGAAACTACCATAGAGGGATATCAGTTCTGTATCTCTTTACAAAGAGCCTTTTGAATCGCTCATATCTGAAACCTAAACCAATATTATATTAACTATATTAACAGAAGGGTGTATTGCTGTTGCAATCTATTGTAATGGTAATATGGGGGTTCAAAGTATTTTACTCTCATGCTAGAGATTTGTATGGTAGGGGGCAGCATGACAAGGTACACAAGTTATTCTGGAAGTACTTTTCCTTAATAGTCTATTGCATTAATTCCAGAGTATATTAGTTAAAGTGATGAATCAAGTGCTTCGACAACTCATCTTTCACGTTAAGTTTGTTATAGTGGTCAGTTTTTATAAGATATTAATATGATGCAGAAAATAATTTGAACTTTGACAAACTACTGATTCCTTAAAAATAAATTTCATGAGAACCACTCTAACAACCCCATAAATTAATCGTTCATCTGCTAATAAGCTTCAGTAGAGACTCCTTGTTTTCTTTTGGTGATAAGAAAAATAAGCAATTGGTTTTCTTGCATGGGTTGAGTGTCATCAACTTAGCACTTGGGGCTGTGTATGATTAAAAGTTATCTCAGCCTGGAATCTTTTGTTAACCAAGAAAAAGAAAACAGAAGACAGCCCATTTGGCAAATGACTCACCCTGCTACAACCTCACAACCTGCCAAACGGAATTTAATAAAGTCAAAACCAAACGAAAAAAATGGAAATTGTGTCTAGTAATAAGTATGGAAATAATACCCAATAATAGCCAATAATATATGACACTACCTCCCCCCACCCCACCCCAGGAAATGGTCTTCACACTACATAATAAATTCTTTTTTCAGCTCTCTGTTTACACATGTGAGAAACCTGCATCTCTTGCATACCAAGACAGAAAACACTTACAGGATAAACCGATGATTGCATAAAAAAACTTACTAAGACAAATGCAGGCACAGAAAACAAAGTTTCTTTCTAACAGAGAGCTCGAGTGAACGCAAATATGTACAAGGAAAACAGGCCTCTCAGGATAGCACAATAATCAAGTATTTGCATGCAAATCCAGCTTAATCTGTCGCTGCATTCTGAGCGCCATTATTGCCGCCTACCAACCTGCCATCCGAGATGTTTTTGTCCGAGAACTGGTCGTTACAGTCCGAATGCATCTGATTATTCACGAAGGTCGATTGTATAGCGGAATCGTCCAAGTGATCGTATTTCAAAGCCATCACGAGATAAACCGCGAGCAACCGTTAACATGTACGTTAAGATTAATAAGTCATTAAGAAAAAAAAAAGAACTTATTATGATACCTTAAATTACCCTTGAGGTAGAGCGACCATCCAATATGTCAGTTCTAAAAATCGCCAACGAGAGATGGCTGTTGGTAGTAAATACACAAGTTAACTTAACTTAATGCCTGGAACGTGATACACTCATCCTTAAACTGGTGTTAGCAGGGTTTGCAGAGGTGTCCCGAGGAATTCACCAAAAACTGTTCACCAATACTCTCTCGGCTCTAGAATCGTAGGTTCCTTTCGTTGGTCCTTGATGTTAAAATTCTTTCTCGGTATCCCCAGTATCGCACAAACAGACCCACTTGTTGCAAAGCCGAGTAACAGATGACCTGGCTTTCGAGTACAAAGAAAAAAAACATCCTCATTGAGCAATTTATTCACGGGTTCAAATCCAGCCAACATATAAGCCTGGTTAAGAACATCTAGAAGACCACCTAAAACACCGAAGAGGAAAATGTCTTTGAAGGTTTGAGTGAAATCAAGTGTGTCCAATATAAAATTCGCTTTGATTCCGAAGCAACACCGATCTTCCACATTCCACCCCCAGCAGGTTCCCAGCTGCCCTAGTAAGCTCTCTTAGCCCTTTAACTCCGAAGATCCAATCATTAATTCTCCTTACTAACTGCCATACACATCCTTGTTTCTTATGCAAGAGAATTGATTCCAAATCACGATAACACAATCTAACCGATAATAACATATTAGGTATCTGTTCATATCTTCAAAGTGCTTAAGGATATAAGAGGAATTTTCAACTTCGTAACAGACCTCGCCGCGCCTCGCCGCGCCTCGCCGCGCCTCGCCACCCTGGAGTCTCTGTGGCTCAGTGGTAGAGCATCGGAGCGCGGAATCCGAAGGTCTGAGGTTCAATTCCTCGTGAAGACTCAGAATTTTTTCTTTGTCCCACACTCGTGACAAGACGAAAAAAACATCATTCTTGATATAAGAGGACTTTCAAGAAGCTGGCCCTCACCATTAACAATGCGGGATACGCATTTCTTCGCCCGCGGGAAGATTTGAGACAGTTGAGGAAAGATTTGCCGAGATTTGTCTGGCACTTATGCTATCAGTGCTACGCCCCTTACAGACCTCGCACCGGCTCTCGTCGCTCCACGCCTCCAACATTCCCGTGGGCAAAGAATCGCACGTGCCAAAGCGCTTATATTGAGGGCCTGGAGCTGAGCTCTATGTTAACTTGAAGTTGATGTGCGAAACCTGTCAATGAGCTTAGAAAACAGAAGAAAAACTTCCACCAAACTATTTATAGTGACTGCCTTCTTCCTCAAGCAAAACATGTTCAAGTTTTTTTTCACTGCTCTCTTACATCAAAAGTTGAATAAGACCTAAAAGAATATGGCCAATCAGAGTTAGTGGAGTCCCTGTGCTAACTCTGATGGAAGTTATGGAATTTTTTGTTGTTTATGTCCAGAGGAGTATTATATTAAAAATAGCTTTGTTCAATGATAAGTTTTAAGAAAAGAATAAACTGGTCATCTCATTTACAGCTCTTTTAACGCATCCTGTCTAATCAGGTGTAATCATGTGAGTTTGCTGGTTTAGTTGAAAAAAAAATTGATGTCTGAGTTTCCACCAGCTCAGCACAAAAGGGCCACAGGCCAAAAGAAACGGTAAGCCTGGGGACAAGAATGACTGCGAAAGTGACAGAAAGAAGCATAAGATCACGTTCTATTGGCATTTTCCGTGAGTGACAGCTGACATGTGTTAGGAAAAAACTGAACAGAGTAGCGGAGGCGGTTAACTGTATTTATTTATGGCGAGGCATTGAAGTCTACAGGTTTTGGTAAGTACTGATTGTATTCAAAAAATGATACAGTTTAACTTTGCCACTGTCAGTGCCTTTACGTAGCTTACATACATCATTTTTGTTTGGAGCGTCAGTGTTCTATCATGCTATATTCAATGTTATGATCTATGTCTTCGATAAAAACTGAGAGTTAATTTCTATCAAATAGAAATACAATCACAAATAGCGAGGTCGAATTGAAAAATTATAAATACCATTTGGAATATTGAAATTTTTTGCGATTGGCTGAATCGCATATCACCAGCACTGGTGATATGATTTCTGTAGCAACTATTTGGATCCGACCTCTTCAAAGTTTTTGTCACACATCGTACTGTCGAGCTAATCTTGCACAGGAAGGAATAGAGTATTGAGGAAGCAAAAATGAAATTTATATATTTTTTCGTTCTCCAGAAGATAGGGGAAGATGTTTCCTCTTTAGTTCAGGTATTTCGGTTTTTTATATCTAACTTATATAACTAATGATGGATTTGAGCATGCAACAATAAAACAATTTATTCTGTTTTACAGGGAACGTCAGCCTTTGGTGTTCATTTATTTTGACCGCTTGGATTTTCATTACAAGATTGATCAAAGTACAACTGATCCTTCTGCTTTCAAAAGGTGAGCCATCTCCGCGATTTTCCACGCTTTTCGTTTTCTATTGAGTGTGATTTTCATAATCAAGATACTAAGTAAGTTCCTAAATCAAGAAAACGGATTAACCTTATCCTGCGAGTTTCACTACGATTATCACTTCACTAAGAGATACCTTTTAAGTGTTAATCAAGATAAGACTTCGATGAAGTAACGAGTGGGTGACATTA